ATTGCAATCTCTTAGCAAAGTCACCAGGAAAAAGTACTTTGACTCCTTTGCCAAAGTTCAGAATGCAGTCTAATGCCATAATATGATTATTACATGCCTGCAAAAAATATTATTTCAGTTTAGTTTGAAGACACTTATCACACCTCATGAAAAACAGAAGGAGGAGGCAACTGTCGAGGACAATCGCACATTTTCTTTTGCCAGTGTGTGGCGTTTTGAAAGCTATTCAATCTCTTTCTGATTTTGGTAGTGAATGTGTTTGCTCTTCTGAAAAAAATGCCATAAATGGCAGTAACCCACTGTAATAGCCAACAGCAGAGAAAAATGCCAGCTTTTGTACCACTCACTCATGCAGTCATGCATACTGCAGAAAATTATATCCATGTTTTTCCCCATAAAGAGATATTCATCAGTTGCTGCAGTTATAATTAATCAAAAAGAAACCTATAGTGTCATATGTAAAATGGGAGTTTTCTTTCAATCTCACTCTGCAAAAGGAAAATTGGGATCCCTAACAATTACATCTTTATGTAATACTATGCATGTTTAGAAAAAAAGGAAGAAACTATCACATGACATATATGCTTCTCCACAGGCAACGGAAGAGCACATCTGCACTTCAGGGCCTTCTGGTATTGCTGCTGGCAGATGCTAACAGGCTTAATTTTTACCAAGAAGGCACACAAAGGTCCTTTGTAATATTTCAGACCCAAACTCCTTAGAAACACTGGGTACATCTGTTCAAAAAGAATCTCCAACTCCTTCTGCCAATTTACACATGAACACACATACTGTGGAGTCATATAGACATATATAGGCAGACTAATACCTTGATCAAATATAATCAAGTTACAGCAGCCTAACAAGTTGTCAGTTGCCAGCTGATTGCGCCTTTTTCCTGAGACTCAAGATGAGCTGAGCAGAGGCCCAAGATACATGCAGGACTTCAGCTTTTTTCTCTGTCTTAGCTCAGCCTCGTTCAACCATGCCCTGTATCTCTGCACACATATATTTGTCAGACTTTACCTTCCATTCTTCTCTTTGCTCATTCACCTGAAGAGAAAAGCCAGGCAACTCCCTCCTAATAATCACTGGGTTCAGTCAGCAATATGGGAACTGAGATCTCAACTTGTACTCAGCTATCAATAAAGAAGACACACAAATCTATACAGTGCTTTCAGGTGCACTTTTAAGTCCATGCGTTCACAAATGTCTTTCTTTCCTCATCCTTCTCAAACTCTGACTTCTCCAGTCAGTCATTGTCAGCTAACACATACCACACTGATATTTAAAACCAAGTTACCCCTCTTGACAAATAATATCATTCACAATTCAGGATTATAAGGAGGAAAAATCTTATCTTTTACTAAAGCCAGAGAAAGACCAGGAATAAAAACTCTATCAGGAAGGCACTCTGCTAAAAGCCCTTGTAAAGGCTGACTTTTCTCAGCAGAAAGGAAGAAAGCCTCTTTAATGGAACAAACAAACAAACAAATGGAAAAAAAAGAAGAAAAAGAAAAAAAATCCCTCCTAAAACTCCAATTCAAAGTAAAACAAAAAAATTCCCATTACTTGTGAAGAGGGCGAGGACAATAAAATACATACATTGACTCTAGTGCTATTCCTATTGGAAAATTGTGGCCTGGATCTTTCAAGAGCCTGACCAACACTTCCAGGAAAGACTGAGCCCTTTCAAAGATTTTTCAATAATTTTACATGGGTTCTTTATGGTGTGGTCAGCCAAGATGGGGAAAAGAAAACTCTAAAATCTATCATAACACTTACATGGCTGTTGTGACATTCATCTATTTGGTATTTGAGACTTGGACTCTAGGAAATCAATCCAACTATTACCTTGCTTTCCATGTGACTCTCCCCTTTAAAAGACAGAAAGACAGCCAAGAGCTAAGCACCCAAGGCACATATAGTTTAAGTGGGCAATACACATTTTAAACAACTGAGTATCATGTGGACATGTTTGACTGAAGGATTTCCATTTGCATTGATGCCATATGAGCTATTCACAGCTACTAGCTGGCAAACTGCTAAAACAATTGTTTGCACTTTATGGACCATGGCCACTGCTGTATCTCATGGCATTCAATTTTTTTGACAGGAAATACAGCTTTGCCATTATTTTCAGGTTACTTTTCAACTAATTAATGTATCACAGAAGAAAATTTGTTTTCTTTTACATAAAAATATTTTTTTCACTCCTACTTATCCTTTTTTTTTTTTTTACTCCTATTTATTCTTTTTTGGGGGATAATCTTGTCCATCTTTTCAATAGCTCATTCTCTGTAAAATAACTCCAGGCAAAAGCCTATTGAAATGTCTAATATGAACCAGAACAGCTTTGACCGGTTCTGATATTGGTTACATTCTAGCTGGCTAAGAAAACATAGCTGAAAAATATGAAGGATTCTTACTGCACAAGAAACATTATTAGAACCATATTTTCCTCAGCGGAAAAATGAAAATAGGCAGCAGATGTAAAGAAAAAAAATCTATAGCTTTGGTAAATCTCTCAGATATGATTATGTTCAGCAGTTTGCTACTTTAGTGTAACTGGATATACGTAAGATGAATAGCAGGCCTAAACATCTCACAGTGGGAAAACTAAATTTGATACAATTTCAGGGAAGTAGGGAGTTGCTTCTCACAGCAAAGTCCACATACACACATGTGTTTGCCTTCTCTCAGGCCACAGAGGCTTCAAAACACTATTCTTAATAAAAAATGAATGTTAGCAGCCCAGTATTTATGACAACTTTATAGTACTGCTATGCTTGTGCTGGGACCAAAAGAAACAAATGTCTGTAAAGAAAACAGACCCTAGTTTCAACTTCTCTATAAGTTTATTACTCTCAGTTTCAGTAGTTATCTGCTACTTTGCCATACTTGTACAAACTGTAGTGGTTGAAATGAAAAAGCATTTATTCTAGAGATCATAATTCTAGGACTGAGTGAGAATAAATTGAGAGTTAGCCCAGTTTAGCTGAAGAGTAGTAAAGCTATCTGTGTTAATTACGGGAAAAGAAAATCATACCTGTTGTTTAGAGTTTGGATGAAGGTATTATATAGCTCTAATTTAATACAAAAATTTTATACAGTTTCTAGTTGCACCGAAGAGTAAACAGACTTGCATTTTTAAGGCATAGTTTGAAACCATTCCAGGATAGCGTTGATGCAGTTTGAACTTCACATGATGCATATAGCAGTGCTTTGGACGAAAGATGAGAAAATCCAGTCACTATGGTGGTGGTAAAGGAGGGGAATATGGAAGAGAGGAGGCAGAGCAGTGAAGCTGGACCGCACTGAGATAACTAACAAAACCAGAGAAACAGATAAGGGTACACAGAGACAGAAATACAGATTAATGTTGAGTAAAGAATATTATGACCTTGATGAACTGTGAGAAGAGCTGCTATAAGAACAGTTAGGAAGGAATCAAATCCACCCAAGAAATATTAATCTGAGGTAAAGTAAAAGAAACAATATCACATTAACAAGCAGAAATCATGTTTACAGAAGTTACAGTTTGCAGCTGCAAAACCAGGCTCATAAAAGACTTCTTTATAAGGCTGATAATTTCACAATCTTTCACTAGTAAGAACTCAGTTTTCAAACTACAGAGTATTGGAAAGATTTTTAAAAGTAGAACTTGGGTTTTGGCCTATTATTTTCTAACAAATAGAAATTTCCTCCTTGGAATAGTTCTCATTAAATCTTAATTGTTTTTACTGGCTTTTTGATTTTCATGTCAGATAAATCAAGTATGAATGAAGGCAGTTGAGAAAATGGATTATTTGGATTTGTAAGTTACCTGGTAGTGAATAAAAACGCAGTGGCAAAAGCTGTACTGGTCTCACCTACACACATGCTTGAGAGGTGAAACAGCCAAATTTTCCAAGCTGTCACCAAGAGAGCAGTTATTTTTCACAAGGTGGAATGTGGAAATTTTGCTGGTTTTAAACAGGTTGGAGAAACTCAGAAAGTAGGAAAAATAAAATTATTTAAAAAACTAAGAGCCAACCATGAGTAGCCATTGGTAGTTTATGGCTGCATAGATGAGTACTATGAATTTCTGGTATTCATTTAATAAATCCCTCATAGCCTGCACTCACACACAAAAACCACATAGAAACTGGTTAATGATGGATACACAAATAACCCAGCTACAAATGTATTCTCCTTTTTACTTTTTTTTCATTGTCTCACTCTGCTGCTTCTGTGGTTTAATTCTGCTAGGCAGAACCTGTCCCTCTACCCACATAAATCCTCTTCTACTACAGATCTGTGTTTAGCAGTGAGGGGAGCAATAGCAGACCCGTGTCTATTGGGTCTATGAAACTGGTAGTTACAGTCTTTCACCAAGAGGCTGCTTTTTCAAGTGCAGTTCAGTCACTGCTAAAACACTCTCAGTGCTGGGGAGATGTGCAAACACTGGATCACGTATGGTAGGTTCAGCATAGTTTGAAAACACAGATGTGCCCTCACCCTGGAAAACATTCAAATCAATTAGAAGTCAGAGTAATTTCTCAGTTTTTCCATGCTTTAGAGGACTAAGGCAATGAACAGTCATTCTTCTCTTCAGTAGTCTTTACACCACCAATGTATGTCTTGGTCCTTTATAAGGAGATACTTCAAGAACAGATTTAGGGCATAACAGGAGACTTGAACTCCTGTGGAGAGAGAAACATTGCACTCTGTCGTAATGAAAAAAACAGCTTGTGCTTTCAGGTTATTTTGTTGCTTTATCAAATTTCATCCTATATGACCTTTCTCTGCCCACCATCAATATTCAATCCTTATAGGGACTAAATTGATTTTTATGGCACCTGAGAGTCTCCCATTCAAGTGAGATGTCCACGATTGCTAAAATTCCTAGATCACACGTACTCAGCTCAGAACAGAGAAAGCAAATTCAGAAAATACTTTTCCTAAATAATTCATGCAGTTCTGCCATGTCAGCTCTTACTGGCTTTTTAAAGAAAACAGCAGTGTTGCTTACAGAAATTGCTTTCTGCTTTCCTAGGGAGGAAAAAGTTTGTGAATAAAGCAGGATAAGTAAGAAGGGGTAGAACAGGCATCAGGCAGTCTTCTGTTTAACACAGAAAATAATGTTTCTGTTTCTTGTAGAGGTTATTGGCAGTGACAGCTGAAAACATTTACTTTGCATAGTGAACAGACTGACATATTACCTTTTGATGCATCCAGGGAGATATAATTAGCTGAGAAGCCCTCAGACGCAATGCTGTGATCAGTCACGAAGTACAACATCATCATGTTGCCACCACTAGTGAGAGATGGTGGAACTGATCTTCCACAGTACCTGCAGCAAAAAGATGCCTGAGATTGAATGGCAGTACTTAATGAAGCGTCTGTATTACTGGAAGAGGATTCAGCTTTCCTGAGAAGTTTGAACAGCTACATACACACAAATCTCTCCTTTGGCTGATACAGATCACAGCTATATACCCTGTATCATGGGACTAAATAGCACACTACATGTACAAGGGTACAAATCTAACTTCTGTGGCAAAGTCAGAGAAGAAACTGTTCATCAAGTTGTCAAATTCTTATTTAAATTATTCTTTGCTGTACCTACAACATATTCTGTTCTTTTGTAGGAGTCAGGGTAGCTGGCCAAAGACTACGGTTGCAAAACACTCTCCATTACGAGAGTCATTTGCTCCTTATTTTCCAAAAAAACTACCATGTCAGCTAACTACTTCACAGTCTGTAATACTGGTCTGGATACTGTTCCCAAGTAGTTCAGATGTTCTTGAATTCTAGGGTGGCAAGAAAACATTGTGTCCACCCCAACTGGAGAAGGGGAGAAAAAGAAAATATTCTTCCCTAACATAAAATCACTTATCAGGATAAAGTGAAAAAAAAATCCTATAAAATGCAGATTTTGGTTTTGTTTTTGCTGAGACCCAAATGTGCAATCTTTTAAGTAATCTTTCTTTCATTTCTGCAAGTGTTTCAAACCATGTCTTTTCCTGAGCACAGATATATTAATGCTTTTGAACTTATTTCCCATAAATCGAAGTGTTAATGGAGCTGGACAGTGCCAGCCATTGAAATTTGTCCTTAAAAAAGCTGTCCTTTTGACACAAGTTATTTTCTCCTGGTATAATATTTATTAAATGTGCTTCTCATTCCATGGTCAAAGCAAGAAAGCTGCCTTTACCATCCTAGGCAGAGAAATTTCTGCTATTGTTTCTGTAATGCACAGAAATTAATCTATACACAAAATTTAAGGAAGCAAATTGGATGTTGAGATCTACAGAAGAGTGCTCACTCTACAGTAATTCAGCTCTGTAGGCTAATGGACGTATTCACCTTCCCAATTTCTGCGCAGTGCTGTTGTCATATATTTCAAGATAATCCTTTCTGCAAGTATAATCAAATGCCAAGTTAAATGAAGTGAATATCAGGCGGATAAGGTAGCCGGGTTGAATGTTGATAATCCAGGTACAGTTAATACCATGTGGGTAGACCTCTGGATGACCAGGACTTGTAATGGTTCCTTCTGGTGAAGTGAGAGTCTCTCCACATACTGTAGAGATTTAAAACATCAGGTTAAATGATATATTTATATAAAAATTAGGCACTTACAAAATTGGTTACTTTTTTTCCTTGAAATTTCATAGTCCTTTTTTCCTTGATGTATACTACACAGTAACTGATTCAGAATTTATCTCCCATTACACCATCATAAAACTTGGTGGCCAACTGTTTTCAGTGTACAGGAAAATTTGAAAAGTCCCAACGCTCTATACAGAAAACAACAAAAAAATCCTTACCTGTATCTAATGGCCAGTACTCGGCTCTGAAGCCAAGGTTGGTAAGAGAGGAAGATCTGAATTTGATATAGAGATTGTTCCATGTAGATTGCACTCTAGATGGTACAGCAGTACCACAGTATTTATTCAAAAGAGGAGAGTCTGTGTTGTTGCCATCTCTGACCTGAAGAACAGTGTATGCAAAATATCCCATAAAATTTCTATTATATTAAAGTTTTAAGCATAAATTAATTCATAGGAATAATATAAGAGATCCTTAGTAAGTTAAACCCTACTCTTTCTTCAGCATGTTTTCTACTACAGGCACATACAATGCAACCTTATGACTGCCAGAGAAGCACTCTCCCACTCAAAGCACGTCAGATGGAAAAACGCTGAGATCTTACACCATCAACAGTAAGTGGCACATAAACCTCCAAAACCAGGTCTGTCTATTTAAAGACACCTGATACGCATCTCTGATTATCAAAATGGTCATATCATTGTAGAACCAAGAAAATATTTGGGATCCCATTATGAACCTCGAAAAGCTTTTATAACTGCTGAAAGAAGTGCTTGCCTGTTAAGCAGTTCTGCTTTAGTGGAGATGAGTATGAGAAAGAACATACAGATAAAAATCTGTCTACTATTCATAGTATATGTGTATTATTCTTTACCTCAATGTAGTCCGAGTCACAGGTGGTTGCATTTCGAATGTCAAAATCGATAAAGTTAAGAATCACCACTTTGCTAGCCGGCTGGGAGATGATCCACTCACAGGTCTTTGGGTGAGGGGACATCCTGGGGTAGTAAGGTGAATGGAGAGTTCCTGCTCCAGACAAGGAGCCTCCACAGGCTGCCAAGAGACACCAAAAATCAGTACTTGTGATGAATGGTTTCAAGGAATGTATCATGTGACATCTATCAAATACCACTATGAAATTAGAAGAAAACCACCCTTAAAAGCCTATCTTCTTACAGCATCTACTACAGATCATCCAAGTAGTATTAGGAATTTATTTGAAAGAACATATTGCTATAAGTATAGCATAAACGCATATATACAGAAGACCATTCTAACTGTGCCCATGAAAACTAATGGATTTGACTAATTTCCTTCACAGACACATAGAATTGTTGGTGATTAAGAACTAAAAGATAGGAAAAATGAAAGTAAAAATATTTAGGCAGAATTATAGCTATATCATCTTTGGTATGTTAGCGGTAAGTGATTTATCATTATTAGAAGCAATGAGGGGTGCATTCCCAAGCATGCTAGGAGTGTCTACAACAGACCTACTACAGACATCATCTTAGCATTTCTAAAAGTAGCAATAAATAAATAAATTGACTCTATTTTTTTCTTTCCTTTCTTTTGAAGTTTGTCTTCCCATTATATGGATAATATAGCACGTAAATGACTGAAAGTGTCCAAATTATGGATCAGTTAGTTCACTGTGCAAATCACCAGCTCCTCTTACCAACTTGATAAATGGCCCTGAAGCTAGCCCTTTGCACAGAAGCATCAGACTTGAACTTGATCCAGAGACTGTTGCCACTAGAAGTAATTGGAGACATGAGTGTACTATGACAGAATTTGCTAATAAGAGAAGACATCTCGCTGTCACCATCTCGAACCTAGTCATCGAAAAGAAAAAAAGAAAAACATCAGATCATAAAAGCATTGGGATCTGATATCCGGATAAAATTATAATCTCACAAAAGCTGCTAAATAACAAAAGGAGTAACTATTTTACTTATTTGTAAGAGGGGCAAAGAGCCATAACAGTAATTGGCACAAGCATGTGATTTACGAGAGCTCAAAGGAAGGATTGGATGATCAGCACAGAAGACACACACATATGCTACTGTCACAGGACATTAACATGAAACAGATCTTCTCTATGAACCACAGCTTTAGTACAATTTGGGCCTATGCTTCCAAAAGTGACACCTTTAGTACGAAAGATGCAAGGAAGGTGCTCACCACTGATAGCTATGAAATTTTTGCCAGCACTAAAATGTGCTGAGGAAAAAAAAGGGTATTTGATTTTCCTGCTCTGGCCATGAAGTTTCTAGTGATTTTTCAAAGGCATTCCTCCAGAACAAGCATATGTCTCATCACACCCATACCTCAATGCAGCCAGACAGCTAACAGGAGATGCAACTCTGAGTCCCTAAAGCAGTAAAGAAGTATACTGACTTCTTTCCGTTACTTTATCTGAAGAGTCCAATGCATAATGATGACAATGAAGCTGTATCAGGGAATCACTTCCAACTTTTTCCTTCTGCACCACCACTCTACTGACCTCAATCAATTTGCAAATCAAAGGAGAAATGTATCTTATGTGTTTTCCCAGAAGTTGATTATAAATCCTAATTATTGGAAAGAGGTATTTCCACCTCCGAACTTCAGGCCCTGAACCCACAGTCTGTGAGTAAGAATAGGTGCATCCAAGGGACCAGGCAGAGCACTGGTATAGCTGAGGAGCTCTGAACACCCTTTAAGGTGCCCATCTCATTCCAAGAGGGCAGACAACAAGCTGAGGTCCAAAAACTAGGTCCTCTGCTATTTGCCCAGGCAAAAAATGCAATTTTTCTCCCAAAGATTCTCCTGAAAACAAAACAGCTCTTTTCTGCTGTAAAAGTGGTGGTAGCTCGTGTAGCTGGAGCTGCTTTTAAATGCACCTGTATGCTGTTAACCCCAGAAAATCATTCCAGTGAAATCATTAGCAAAGCCAAGTACATCCAACTTTCAGGTCTCCTCTCATCACCTCTTCTTTCCTCCTCAGCTGTATTGCTCCATGGGCTGGGAGAGAAGGCAGAGAACCCTCGTCAGTGCCCTGGTGAGCAGGCAGTGGCTGGCCTGCTTGCCCACCTTTGGCAATCTCCAGCTGGTGAGTCAGCTTTCTGACTAAGATATTTTTAGTTTCCCTGGAACCTGAGTTTAAGGTGACAGAATTATTCTGGATTTACAGTGGAGCAACTGAGATCAGAATTTGTGCCAGAATATTTAGAAGATCTTTGGACAGCAGTGAAAGTTCCCAGAACTATAGTTCACAGGAGTTTACATTTTTTTCTTGAGCTGATTCTCCTTACATTTTTGGTTTATAAAGCCCAGTGAGTAGTGATAAAAATAACAGGTTCTCTAAACCATGTGAGCAATGTCTCCTATTGCCAGTTAGAAGGATGGCATGGAAAAGGAGCTGTCTTGTCTAACACCTTATCTCTGCAGCACCATGTCACAGCCTTTCATAATTAAGTTTTGTTGCCTCTAGTTTCTTATTGCAGACCCCTGGTCCCAGGCTGTTCCTTCCTTAGTAAGAGACCAAACACCCTCCTTGAGCAAGCCTGTGAGCTGTGTCTGCTCCCTGTTGGAAACTCTGCAAGTTTCCTAGTATCACCAGGGATGAGGATAATCGACATCTTTTCAAAGTGACAAAACAGTTGCCAGAGAGTGACTTTTAAAGTAACTTAAACACCCAAAACCTCTCTCCCTAGCTGAACTTCATTATAAAACCCAGTGAGACAGTACTTTAGAAAAGCATATGTGGAAAATCAGGCTTTGATAAAAGTGCACAGTGCTTTAGTCATACCGACTGTCCCAGTCAGAAAATGTCGGTCCTGTTTCCCTGCTCTGGGCTGAAGCACCAAGCAAGAGGGCAGGAAGAAGAGGAGGACAGAAGCACAGGAAAACTGAACGGCTTGTGACTGACCAGCAAACAGAGAGGTAAATGCCTTGCTGAACTAATACAAACTGATTGCGTTCAACAGAAATGGTTTTGTTTCTCTGGCTGCTGTGAATTTAGCTGCTGTTCTGCCAGCAATTAGGCAAGAGGAGTACCAGGCCAAACAAACAAAAGCTGTCTGTTTTCATTAAACACACTTCCCCTCTCATTTCAGAAATTAATTACACTTCATTCCAACCAAAGTCTCTGAATTAGAGGAGGAGGGAAAGGAACGATATCAGCACAATAACATCTTTTAAAAACAGATTAACTGCACAGAGCTCACAGGGGCCTATTCCTTGCTTGGTCAAGAAGAGATTAAAAACAAAACCAAACCCGCACTGCCGCTTAACTGTGTAGGCAGCAGCGCAGGATGCAGCTCTGTGCTGGGGTCGCAGGGTTTGCTCCTACCTGCTTCAGCTGTGGCAGCACCTTTGCTAATCAACCGGGTGTCTGTGCCCAGTTTGTTTTACTTCTGTTTACCTCTGCCCAGTAAAGCCACAGTTTTATACAGACAGCAGTACCCAGCAGTCATTCCACGTAGGATGAGGTATTTATGACTGTATGGAGAAATACAGGCCAGCTATGACAGCAGATGCCCTGAGACATGGCAAGTCGGAGCGTGGCACAGATGAGAAGAGGGATGAGGTAGTAGAAGAAGGGGCACGGGCCACCGACATAAAGAGCTTGTCAGGCGCTGAGCACACACCAGGACTCACTGGCCCAGCATGGCCTCCCCCAGGGCCCCCGCACCCTGCCCATGGCCCAGGACCCCATGTCAGCCCCTCCCAGGGCCGTCAGTCCCTGCCCAGAGACACTGCAGCAGGGCCAGTCTCCAGCTCCCCATAGCTCTGCCCTGCCCAGCCATGGGCTCTGCTGAGCTAGGCTCACCTGTATGCGATGTCCGGCCCGGCCTTGGTCCATCCCTTTCCCCAGCCTGATGCCTGAGGCTGCCCTGCTCCCTCACTGTGGGGCCCTGCTCTACCCCTCCAGGGAGCCCCCATGGCCACCGGCCTGCACAGCACCATGCCAAACTTCACCTGCGGTCAGTTAAAGAAATGCAGACCTGGAGCTGGACAAAACACAACCTACACTACTGGGTGTAGGGATAACAAAGAAAACTAAGAAATGGTATCTAGTGTACTTAAAAGGCACCCAATAGTAGTAAATTTGAATGTAACATGAAGCTGCAGACCAGTGAAGAGGGAGCTAGGTGTAAAAGCAAACATAAAAATCACCTCAAGTAGATCCCACTTAGTACCAACAGTACTATTGTATTATTATTATATTTTCCATACAGAAACATTCTAACTGTGCTATTATTTTTTTTAATAATTAGATTTAGACTGCTATTATTTTTTCCATAATAATTAGATTTAGACTAATAACAGTTCTTGAATTAGACTTGTAAGATTTCAGTTATGCTAACAATAAACACCTGGCTTTACATATGTACATATGTACACACGTGTGTATTTATAAATATGTATATGGTATGCTTCCTTTTTGTGCCAAAATAAGGTTTTCCGTATAACACCATGACTCCATAAAAATGCTGCATAGTGGCTATGGCATTATTTCTACTTTTCTTGCATTTGGCATGCATTTACCAAAGGTCCAAACTCCACCTTAATCATGTACAGCTGATTACGAATTAGTGTTAAGCTAGACAGATTTTCTTGTTCTCTTATCTTTGCTTCATTCCAAATGAACAGCCCTGCTCTTTTAGCCCTTGTGACTTTTGGACCCTAATAAACTGGTATACTTAGTCCTTTGACTAACACCTATTTCTGCAGCGGTCCTTGGGATAGAAATTATGCAGCATGGTTTTGTGTACACATGTAATCAACCTTGCATATCAACTGATTAAAAGAAGTCACCTCAATATAATTTGATGAACAATCAGTGTGACTCTCCAGCTCCATATGGGTGAAGTTGAGGTATATTTTTTCATCCTCTGGCTGCCGAATAATGTAGATACATTGTCGGTTGTTGATATAAGGGTTAGGCCAGAAAGGGGATGTGATAACCCCTTCACTATCCACGTAATTTCCTCCACAACTTGGGTCTGCTATATTAAGAAAAAAATATATCAGTTGAGATATTCACAAGCATGGTTAACTCTTTCAGTTTAGGTTGCTTCTGTACAATGGCTGCAAACCAAAGAAGATTTCTGTATTATTAAATAGCAAGTGTTAATTACATCCATTCATGTGTTGTTGGCTATATCTTAGGAATGTCACAGACCAACCTTTAATGCTAAATTTTACTTACCAGGAGATGTTGTATAGAGAATGTGGAAGCCTTTATCAGTAACTAAGTCATCAGAGTGAAAATGAATCCATGCATATGGACCAGTGGTTTGGAGTGGGGGTGGAGATCCAGTGCGACAGTATTTACCAAGGACAGGGTCTTGTGGAAGAAGACCATCTCGAATCTAGACAGAATGATAGGTCAGCATTTAGGATTATTAGATGTGTGCCAATTGTGAACAGTACCAAGAGTCTTAAAGTTATCTCGGCGGCCCCAGGAGATACTGTAGATGGTGGGTGGAGGGAAAGCTCACAGGAAGTTTTCCCCAAACATGCAGGAACCAAGAAACAGACCCACCAGCGTAGCTGTGATAGTGCTCCTAGGAGACTCATCAACGGTTTTGTGAAAGGGAAAGAAAGCATCAGGAGATCTACTGTTGAACTGTTTTCCTGAAATCATGCTCTGCATTGCACAGTTTTGGAGAACACACGCTATTCCAAACCAGATTCTCATTTCCACGACTGGGTACTGGTGAATTCTGCAACCATTACTTTGCACTTCTCAAAAAGCCTTAAGCTCACACATCAAGTCATGGTCTGTACTATAATATGAAACTATTAATCTTAGATTCCTTTCTCTAACTGTTTGCCTTAGGCTGATTAATTCTCTGTGGGTTGACATTTGACAAGGAGTTTGGAGATTGAATTTTGTAAGAAAGTGAAAGCTTCCCACCAGGTATTTGGCCTAAATCCCATCCTCTTTAATCACAGTACTTCCACTGACTTCAGTGGAGCAGGATCTCATCCCCTTTCTGTTATACTGCCTGTATCTGATTGTGCATTGATGGCTGGAATAAGTCAGTACAAATGAACATTTCAACCCAGGATTTAATTTTCAAACAGTTCCCTTCTGTATGCACAAAAAGTTTTGAAATATCTTGTTTTGCAGTAACATAGCCATAAAATGATGTCATAATCCACAATTACACTTTACCTCTAAATTGTCATAACTGCAGTTTTCATGGTGTCCTAGGCTTAGTGTGCCAAAAGCAAATGTGATGAGGAGGCCAGGACTGGTTGAGATGGTCCAGAAACAGTCTCTGTTTACAGGGTAGTTCCCAGGGTATCCTGGGGAGTTTATGTGTTGGGGGAGCCGTAAGTACCCGTCAGCTCACCACCACATTCTAACAGAAAAGAAACATGGAACAACAGAGTCTTTGACATCACATCAGGTCAGAATATTAATTCTCTTGTAGTGTCAAAATTAGGTACTACTTTGGGATACAGAATTCAAAAACAAAGACCAAGCCAAACAAACCAACAAGTTACTTCTTTAAATTTTACAATTAATTCTGCAACTCAGTTCTAAAATCAGAACTCCAAATATTTCCTGACTTGCACAATAAAAGAAAGATTCTTTCCCAGTTATGATGGAAATATCTTTAGGAGCATGATCAAAAGCACTGTGTTTTGGATTTCAAAATTAATCTGAATTTCTGTACTTTGTAAATAGTCTCCATGTTTTATCCTAGCACAAGACTTTTCATTTTTAAAAAAAAATAAATGTTAATTTCAGGGAAGGCTGTTTTATATACATGTAATAAAAAAAAACATTCCTCTCAGCTTAACAGTTGGAAATAGTAGGGGTAATTTGTGTGTTATACCTAAGGAATAGCTAGTTTAGTCACATCTATACCTCTCCCCCTCTTTGCTTTTTTTGTTGTTTAGTTTTTTTTTTCCTCAAAAGATCTGTTTTCACTTTTCAGTATCCATATTTGTCAATTAGTAATTATCTTTCTAACATTGACAATTGAAAGAAAAAGAAATTTCACCAAAAATCACATTAAAAGCATTTCAATAAATATTTCTGGAAATAAAGAAACTGTTCCCCCCACTGAATTTTCTATACTTTTTTTACTCTATGGTTCTTTCAAGACACAACCCAATGTACAATTTTGTTTCTAGGCGATACACAGAACATTGAAGTGAGCGTGATGTTGCACAAGATGATTTGAGGTTTATCTCTACAAACGCACTGCCAGGCCTCCTGGAAGAATCATGCAAGTGGCGTTACCAAGAATTTAGGCAGAAATGTACACCAAATCATACCAAAAAGCTCACAGATAATTTAAAGTCAAATTCCCAAAAATCTATCATGTTTGGAAAATGTGGTTCAAACTGTTTAGCCTCTTGTAAATTGTCAGTTGCAAAAAAGGTAGCTTGCTTGCTCAAAGTACTAGATCTCACTTCTGTGAGAAAAGAGAACCGATCAGAAGAACGGCATCTCCAGGAACACATGCCCTTTGGGTGTTTCTTCACAGGAGGTATAAAACAGCCTTAAAAAACAGCAGAAAGTTATTCATGCAGAGGCCTAGAGTTGGAGTTTAAATATTTTAAAGTAATATATATGTCTATATTTCAGCCTCACTCCCTAGTAAAATACTGTCCTACTGCTCCTAATATTTCCTAATCAAGTAAGTCATTCGTTTTGCTCCAAAGCCATGAAGATGCTAAATTACTTGACATTTCATCAAACTTACCAGGATCCTGAGATTCCCACTGAACAGTAAAACCTCCAGCTGTAATGGTGTGGTTTGAGTAGAACCAAAAATACAGGGAGTTGTGGGAACTGAAAAGTTCTGCAGGAGGTGAGGAGCCACAGTATTTGCCCAGCATGTGCATTGACGCTGAAGGCCCATCATGAATTTGAAGGAAGTCAGAGTTACAGTCATTACTTGCCTCCAGTTGGAAGAATGGGAAAATAATACGTAGAATCTAACAGGAAGTAACAAAACAAGAAATCGCTTTTTCTCCATCTGCTGAGACACTGTTTATGCAGTAACTTTGTATAGAGCAGATATATGTGTTCCTGCATCTGTGAGAATCTATGAGCTTTGGAACTACGATGTCATTTCCTGAAAAGTTCCAGGATGGAAGAAGATATTACAGAATCTTAAAGGTCAAAAGGAAAGAGAGAAGATAGATAGGAAAGAATTTGGACAGGGAAGTTGCCTGGAAAGAACACTATTTCTATAAACTAATAATTAGGACCATTTGCCTGTGTCTGTTATATGTGTGAAATATATGTATGTATGTATTTCAAGCCATGTGAAAGGCTTGAAATACGGCATAAAATGCTTTATTCCAGGTTTCCAATGACAGTTTTCTCATCAGATATTTAACATTTCTCATCCTTGCTATTGTTGAAACTAGTGTCATGGGAGTTAAGAAAATTAAATGATCCTTTTTTTTGCACATAAAAAATCAGCGTCTCATAGGCCCACTCTAGATACTTAGTGACATACACAGCTTCATGTATGTTCAGATAGCTCACTGATATGCTTTAACATAGCTCTGCTGAATACAGTAGTGGCTCTCAGGCTTAAAGCTGAGGATATGTCACGTACATATATATAATGCCATATAAATGACTAGCAACCACTGTTTGACAAAACTACTTAATTAATTCCATGAAATGTCAAAAATAGATCAAATATCTAGATCCCAAGTAAGAAGGCCCATGCTAAATTGTGAAGTAACATATTTTGTAGTTGTTATTTATAACACAAGTGGAATTGTTAGTTGCAGATCAGAATCAGAATATACATGAGTACAACATTTAAAAATTAAGCCTTAAAAAAATTCAAATGGTGTTATTACATAAAGCCATTGATATTACGAATTCAGCATTCCACCTTTCTGGTGCTCAGAAATCAGAAACGCAAAATTGTTCTGGGGTCACTTGGCTCACAGACCAACTGTGGAGCCCATCAGAGCAGAGCTTTTCTCATGCAGCTATTCACAGATCACACTCTAAAGCAATGTAAAATGGGCACCTTTTCTAGTTGGTGATAGGTGAATAAATTCTAACCCTCAGTTGCATAGGAAAAACTTTGAAAATGTAACCCAGGCAAATTCTTAGGCTAAGAAGCCTGAAGGCTTGTAAGGATCTGAAAATTATTCTTTTTGAAAAACTATTTATTCTGAGGGGATTTGATCACAGTATTGGAATATGTGGCATGAAGATGGTCACGTTTGCTCTGACAAGCTGTGGGGTTCTGCAGAGTGAGGGTTTCTTCAACCTGAACTCTATTTTACCTTGTTGGGATTAACTCGAATAACCCAAGCGCAGCTGACCCCATTACTGTACTGCTGGCTGTTTGGGTTGTTAGGGTAGCTGAAAGTCCCCCTGGAGCCTGAGAGATATCCTCCACAAACTGCAGAAAGAGGGAGAAAATGAAACAGATTAATTTATGCTATCAGTATACAGACTTAAAACCCAACTTTCTTGCACAGCTTTGGCTTCTTAAATATTTAAAACAAGGGTGAAAGATACTTCTATAAAAGACTTTTCAGGATTTCCTCTAAAGTGGAATGACATCACAAAAAATGAGAAAAATTACTCCCTGAGAGAAAAGTAGTTCCTGGGAAAAAAACAAAGATTTTCAGCTGGAATATGTGGATACTGTCAAAAGATGTTGATTCTGTCTCAGGAAAACACCCATAAACTAGTTTGTTTCCAGAAGGATACCTCCAGATTGAATCTTAAAATTTTTCACCTACAGTGAAATAACATTTTGAAACTAACATGATATAAAATTGTCTTTCTCAGCAGTGGTGCATCATAGAAGTTATCCTTCAGATCTTTTATTGTCCCATTTATTCCTTTTGGTCAGATTCCTGGGCCTGTAATACCTCTCATCGTATACTGTGGTCTCTTCTCTCACTGAGCCATTCAATGAATGGGAGCTGTGAACTGGGAATCCCAAACAGCTACAGAAAAATATGTCCATAAAGCACCTAAAATAAAATGCACATATAGCTACAGTGTACAATAAGCAGCTGTAGTTTAACATTGAACTGATGCTAAAGAAATATTAAATTCTCAGCAAATTGAAATTAAGTATTTTGTTTCAAGGAGTGGTAAAAAGAACATAATTTTGTTTGAAGTGTCCATCTAAAACAGCTCACCATTTCTCAACCAGATTCAGAATTATCATGTCATAAAATGTACCATTTTCCCCTGATTAGGAACTAAAACAAAAGTTGATACATTATAATTTCTCACTGGATAAAAATTGGTTTTCTATCCCTTCTATTATGAATGGTTAAAAATAATTTTTTTTTTCCACATGTGCTTAATAATAAAACATTACTGGTTAGATACATAAGGAAAATAGGAAAAAGCCTGAAGTAGCTCTGAAATCGAGCAGATTTCAGAGGAGTTCAGTGAAAGTTTTACATTCTGTATTCTGTGAAAAGTTAATCTGCTTTCTTCACAGCAACCAGCAATAAATACAAGCCATCTGACAGATGGCTGCCACAGGGAAGCTCACTGGAATGCTATCTTGACCTTGTTTAATTAAAATTAATGGCAAAAAAAATCCCAGATGAATAGAAACGGTGATATTAAGAAGAAATGTTAAAGGCAGGACCTTGCAGTCACTCTATAAAACTCAGAGTCCCTCATTTTCATGGATAATATTTCTTTCATTAAATTTCTGTTTGAAAACCTTTTCTGGCTTTTTCTCTTGACTAAAAATGTCAGGACCTCTCAGCTTCACAACAAATGAAAAAGTATGCACAAAAGAGAAGATTAGTGTATTCTCTTGTAAATCTGTTGTCCTTATATCGGAATCTCTTTCCCAAACAGTTTACCAGACCACTTTCTCAGGAACAGAGATCTGATTTTAGTATGTCTGGTGTCTTGTCAAGGCCAGCAGGCCTGCAGATCAAGTTCATTGTTACGTTCCTACTGCTATACAAAGCAGCTATAAACAAAACTCACGGAAAACTCTGACTTCAAGGGACTTTGCATTGGGACCTATAATCCACTGAGAAGAGGGCTGTTTTTTTTCCGTCATCACTTGGTTCTTATTCACATATTAATCATATGTACCAAGCACCTATTCGCTGAAACCTGGTGGCCCATTTCTCCTGGGGAGGAGGTCCTGGCCGTACCTTGCTGGGCTGTCTGGCACTGTGGTCCTGTCCAAGCGCTGGTGCACTCGCAGGAGTACCCGTTGACCCCATCGGTGCAGCTTCCCCCGTTCTGGCACGGGTTGCTAATGCATTCATCAACGTTCTCCGTACAATTAGGGCCTGTCCAGCCTGCATTACACAGGCAGAAATATCCAGAGATCATTGCCTATAGGGATAAGCAAATGCAATAAACTTAATGAGTGTGGATCATCTAAGGGAATCAATGTAGTCGGCAGAAAGACTGATATTTACACTTATTTTATGTGGGGATATCAGAGCAAAGAAATAAAACCTTTGGAATTTAATGGCCTTGATGGTCACTGATGAATACCAAAATAAACCTAAAGCCTAATCAGATTGTCTAGCTCTTTGCTTTTTCTATTAAGTTATTTCTTTGCAGGGCTCTTTCAAATTACTTTCTAAAAAGTCAAAATCTGTATTTGTTTAGCCATTCAGAAAACTTGTTTGTTTGGCTTTGAAATGATCACCCTAGAAACAAGTCAGTCATATTATCTAAACCTTCTAAATAGCAAGTCAAGATATCAGTGGTTTATAAATCATTTCTCTCAAGCCTGTTCTCTGGGAAGTCTGCATTGCAGTTATGTGGGCTGATAACTTTCATTTCCACCCTGAGGGATGTTACATGGGAACAATTTCATTGCCTTCTCTGCATTATTCCTTACTCTGTATGTCTCTTTTCTGTTTCTTTTGTTTCAGCCTTTACTACTTCTCCTTATAATGAAGTCTTTCCATATCTCTAACTGTTGTAATTTTGTATGTCCTCTTTCCTTATATTTCTTGTTTTATAGCCTCGATTCTTACAGGTAAAGCAGAACATGGTATTCCACGGTACATGCTAACAATCCCACCTTTGATGACATACAATCAATGTGCTATATTCTCTATTTCCTTTTATGTTCTCTGTTCATGTCCTACGCATTCTGAACAGAGATTTTCAGTATAATGGAAGAGGATTTTGATGTGTATTTACGGCTCCAAATGATGCTTTAGAAGGTGAAAAGGTGTTTTCTGATCTGCATTGCCTGATATTTAATTAACATTACATTTCATCTGTCATTACACCGGCCAAATATAGCTCTGCTGTTCCTCTATTTTATTAGATGCTTCTGTAGTCCTGTTGCTGAAGTATCTGACTGTGTTATTATCTTTATGTGGTAGTTTGTAGCCATGAGTGCCTATAGTTGTATGTTAGGGTATATTTAGGGACAGACATCATGTCTTATAATAGACTGACTAAAATAAATAGTTTCTAAATAGTCAGGAAAAGTAGATTAGATCTCAGCACAAAAGGCCCTTTAAATATCTCAGTGAAAAGACAATAGGTACCTACAGAAGAGAGAGCGAGGAATGCTGGTAAGGGGTGGAGTGGGGAGGTGAGGTGATCATCTCCTTTCACACAGAAAAAGGGAAAAAGGGAAAGGTAGCATATCATAGAATCATAGAAATATTTAGGTTGGAAAAGACCCTTAAGATCATCAAATCCAACCGTTAACCTAACACTACCAAGTCCATATCTTATGTCCCATTTCCCCCCTGCCTCCCAGGATCATCAAAAGGAAGATATCCACAGACCAATGTGGACAAACAGCATCAGACTCTACTGGAACAACAAATTTACCATTTGTGAATATTTCTCAAAAATCATGATCATAAATATCCTCCACAACAGAATTATCAAAATCCCCAGGTCTGCAGCCTGGACTTTCCTGAGTGCAGCACGCCTCACTGAGGAAGCCAAAAGGCCTTCACAGGGTCCACGTGGACAAACTAAACGGTCACTGTGCATGAGAATGAATTCATGCCACCAGTCATTAAAGGTCCAAAACACTCAGCTACCAGCAGGACTATAACCAATTCCTGTGAAGCACCCTTTCGATATCCATATAAACAGCCTGAGACTCCATGGGGGCTCTCACCAGATCAGCCTAGAACATACAACTAACTGTACTGAGTATTAACATCTGAAGGCCAGCAGAGGTACTGGTTTTGTTGTCATGGGTAATTCCTCCACGATCCAAGGTGGTAAATTACTTCCCTGTCTCACCAGGGACAGCCATCCATCAGTTCTCCCCCACCAGCACCAGCATCCCATCGCTAGCCTGGGGTAGCAGCTACAGCCTCTCAGGTTATTAGTGCAAAGATTGCTGCCTCTACTTCAAACACAAAGAAATGTCTTGTGTGCCCTGAAACTCACTTTGTTTTCCCCAGATATATCTGTTGATCTCCCACTCCCTGCTGATCTTGCCTCATTACCTTTAGTGTGCCCACACTCAGCTTTCAGTCTCACCAGTCTCCCCGTTGTTACTGGTTATAACTACACAATGTCGTCACTAACAGCAAGAAGCCCAGCACTTACCAAGCACTGCCCATTTGCACAAGGGTTTTGCAGCTGACAGATATCACTGAGAGGAGAGCACCCGTTCGGCCCATATCCACTTCCAGTGTACCCAGATGTGCAGGAACAAAATGGCATTGGCCCTTGGGAGACGAGACAAGATACAGAAAGTAATTCGGTCCTTGTTACAATCACAATACCAATGACAGTAAAGCTCCTTGACATTTTGAAGCAGAGCCTTTATGTAATTCTAACTTATTTGATCTTTTGACATCTTCCCTGGTCAGTGTCCAGTTTGACCATGGACAGATCCCTAGTGTTGCTTTGCTATGGGTACCTGAGAGTCCAAGGTCACCTTCATGGGAAGCGGTGGGAGTAGTCAAAGGGTATTTATGGAAAGGAGAAAAACAGTAAAAGCAGCTGAAATTGGAAAACTGCATCAAAGAGAAATTGTGAAGATCTCCACATTTTTATGATGAAATCTGCTCTTTGGTGGAGCACAAATCTACTTCTGTGAGTGTCTGTGGAAAGGCCTGCTGGCTTTAGCTAACCTGCCTGTAAGCTCCTTTGGGTGAGGCAAGATTAACTGTGGAAAAGGGGCTGCAATCTAAATATGTTGCTATGAAGTGGATTCAGCCTAACCAAACCCTCTTTGAGATTCACATCGGTATTACTTACAGTCCTTAAGAGAGCATCGTACCTGGAGCTGAGGTACAAGTAGCCAAAGGATGACACCCTCCATTATTTATTGAGCAGATATCAACCTGGGTACATGTTTGTCCATCTCCTTCATAACCTGTTCAGATGTAAATCTTAGTTAGCCTGTAACAAACTACATTGTCTGAGAATTGACAGCAAAACATTCATCTAGTAAGAAAAAGACTAATTTATGGTGTAAAATCCTAGTCTTCTGCAGTTAAAAAGAAAATGTTGAGACAGCCACTGAAGTAAAATTTGGCATATTTATATGGTTCCTACATTGCAGGGATGAATTCTGATTGTAACTAAATCCTCCTATGATTTTAGAAAAAAGATATATTAGTGCTAGCCCAATATAGGTGAGGTCAGTGAGACCACAGAAGCTCAGCTCTCTCAGCTACCTTGTGCTGCCCTCCCTATGTGTCTGCACCCAGCCAGCCCCGACCACCTCCAGTCTTCCCGCTGCACGCCACAGCTGCCCTTGGGTCTCAAACACAACACCCAGCTCCTCTCAGGAGCTCAGCAGGACCAAAGCATGGCAGCACGACCCTGCACGGCCAGAGCTGAGGTCCACCGCACCACATCCAGGTGTCTGAGGCCACATTTCCAGCATGGTGATAGCCCTTCAGTGCTCAGTAACTGAGAGCCTTCACTACCTGCAGACTGTTGCCATTTAAATAGCAATTGAAAGGTCAATTAGAAACACTTTTTCCTGATATTATTTCTAGTATTGATAGCATGCATTTCATAAAGCATTTTAAATAATAAACCACAAATTATAAAGATGTAAGTCACGACTTACACTTCTTGACCTGTACTGAAATGGAAACACTGCCTTCTTAGTATTCAGAGCATGACAATTACCAAGGCTTTTTTAAGACAGACAATACAGCTGATTTATGGCACACAGGATACTCTTTCAATTAATACAGACAATGAAATTACTATCATAATTACACAATCCTTGTTTCCCATTAATGATCTTGTAAAGGAAGTACTTCGTCAAATCAAGGCTCTAACACTGAAAAGGGCTACTTAGTACAAGAGAAACATTTCAGAGGATCATCATTAGAGACATACGCTACAAAATGTTTATTGATAGCTGAAGCAGTTTGAATATACTTGGATTCTGCATTCTATATTACAGTATTGCTTTGTGTATGTGATACTTCTTTACATAAAACCAATCTTCAGCTTCTTAAGTCTACCATAAAACAAGCTCAAATGTGTTGAGTCTTCATCTTTTAAGCCTTTCCATAGTCCTATAAAGAAAAGAAATCCATTTTACCTGGTGGACAGAGCCCACAGTGGAAGGATCCCATTGTGTTGATACATTTAACCATCGGTGCCATTGAGCAGCCTCCATTATTAATTTCACATTCATCAATGTCTTGGCAACTGTAGCCATTTCCTTGCCAGCCTAAAAAGAAGCACAAGAAAGACGTTAAAATAGAAAATGCCTAGCCTTTTCATTTTCTTCTTTGACCATATCTTTTTATAGAGTGGAAAAATAAGACTTTTGAATTTTACTTCATGAACACAAGAGAAGACCTGTCCTTCTCATGAAAATTAATACTGCTCTACAGAATAGGTTACAAACACAACAGGGCGGAGATGTGTGTGCAAGAACATTTTATTTTAACTGTACTCTGGATATTCCAGAGTCAAACACACTTTAACCTAAGAGGAGGCATTTCTGGTCTAATGCACACATGTACAACTTGCAGCAAAGCTTTATCATAACTCTGGTTAAATATTTCAAATACTCCTCCTATACACACCACCTACCCAACTCAGGAAGAGGAATCATAGGTTACATGGCTTGAGAGGACAATTAGATTTTTATATTGCCTTAGGGCAGTGAGCATAAGAATGTGGAAGTACTGTGAACCTATTACATGAAAGTAATAGGACATGATGGACATGAAGGTACCTGTGGACATGAGAGTACACCAGACCTATTCAGATGCTCAGTTTAGGATGGGAGAAATCATATGTTAAGACTCCACTGCCTGCGTTACCTAGATATGACACAACCTGCAGGCATTTATTCTCTAGAACACAGATCAAAGCATTTAATGGAGTTACTGTTACCTGGATTCTGTGGCTGTACCTATAACATACAGGTAGTACTACCTACTGCCACCCTCTCCCACCTGAGAGCATGGAAGATGTGATACCTGTTGGGCAGGGACCACATGAGTAGGAGCCTGGTGTGTTGTGGCACTGCACAAGTGGATTCTGTGAACATGGACGATTAGGGAGGCTGCATTCATCTATATCAGCACTGCAGGCAGGGTTGCCAGGAGGGGACATCCAGCCAGTGTCACAGATACAGCGGTACTTGGGCTGCCACAGCAAACGTAACATCACATATTTAAGACAGTTAGAACAGTCAAGAAAAGGGCAGGAGGAGTTCATTTCATAAAACGTCTTTTAAACTACAGCAAGAAAGTTTTCAGAGCATTACATGGTTTGCACATGCTGTTTTATAAATTGCTTCGGTAGTTTTCTCAGTCTATTTCTTCCCCTGAATTTACCTATCTGGATTATGGAGCAACAACAGGCTCATTCATTATGTTCATAAAAGAAATCTGTAATTTACCCCAAAGCTCCCAGAGAAAATGAACAGCAATTATGAGCTGTACATAAACATAATTAAAAGTCATCAACTTGCTTTGTAACCAGGGTAAACAGATCAGTGTAAGCAACCTGAAATCAGCTAGGCTGTTTTCTTTTAAGCAAAATCTTCAGTAATCTGTGCAATGTGCAGCACTGACATTAAATTGCAAATATACGTATTCTTTGATGAAAACAGTTTTCTGTCTAGTAAACTTTACTAATGGCCAGATTTCAGCATTTCTCTAGCTTTGGTCCAATTAAAGCTAATGGGAGCCTTATTGTTGACTGTCACAGGAGCAGACACTGTTAAGCCAACACCGAACCCTTTGAAAAGCGTTCTCCACAAAAAATGGGCAGAAAACAAGTGATGAGTTGTGAAAGCTTTTACAAATTGAGCTAAGAAATTATTTTATAGCATAGCATGAAGAATATGTAGTGTGTCTGGAATGGTGCATGAGTGTACAGGAGTGTTAAGGATCACAGGCTTCGCAGGGTAGTTTTGAAGGGCTTGCTCTGAGAGGAAAGAGCCAAAGCTGGCATGTTCCATATGTCCCTTTGGAGTGAACGCCCTGTACTCAGATTCACTCTCAAAAAGAATGAGCTGGCTTGCTCCAGAAGACCGTTCAGGTGTCTGCTATCACCCACCCAGTGCAGACACTTGTAGAGCTTGGGTCTGGCATCAGAGCCCAAGCCCAGCTGGAGTGAGGAGCACGACCGATGAGCAGCAGCCACTGTGCAGCCCTGACAGCTCCCAGGCCACCGACAATAACGTTCCATAGGTATGTCTTTTCCCAGGAAAAACAAGACTCATGATGTTTGTCCTTCTTAATCATTTAAGTAATAAAATATTCTAGCAACTTAGAACTCCCCAAATAATGAACAGTAAGAATATTATGCTTCATATAAGACTTTGACTTATTCAAAGAATATTCCCAAGCTCCCTATGGATACAGTAGCAGATCTGATACTGTGACAAGCACCTCTAATAAGACACAAAGCATTTTCAATTCTTTCTGCTGTCCTTGGGACAACAGAGAGGTTAGGTTGTGCTGTACAGTGGCATTTCTTGTTTTTCAGCAGCAGTGTGTGCTACACAGTTTTGTGGTACTCAGCATTATTTGTTGCTTATTCATGTTGTAGTCTATAACGAGGCTTATACGTTGTTCCTTACCTTGTTGGGCTGATCCCTATCTGCATCTATGCAGATGCCATGCCCACAGAGCATCTCAGATCCTGCCTGGCAGTCATCAAACTTTGAGGCACAGTGAGGTCCATAGGTTTCTGGAGTACAGGAGCAGCTAATGATGAAAGTAGACAGAAAAATCAAATTGCTAGCATTATATAGCTGTTAAAGATTACATACTGCCATAGCAAGATATGATTCCCCACTCTCTTATTTATGTGGTGTTCCTTATGAAATCCATCTATTTAGCTCTACTGACAATCCCATTAATAATCATGCACAGAGGCAAGGCCTCTGTTCAGCAGAGACTCAAGAATCACATGAGACTTGTGCGTATCCATGACTGACTGACCCTATGGGAGAATCCACAGCCTTTTGTTACATTCATAAGCGCAAATCCAGAAAAAAAGAACTGTCTAAGATGAGACTTCAACAGAGTATCAGCCTAGAAATCCCTACTTCAGTCATAGACCACCTAAACTTTGTGTTTCAGTTTATGACCCTCATATGATGCCAAGTGCCTAAAAACCCATCTCTAGCAATACGCAGAAATGCCAGGTCTGGCCTGTCCCAGAGAGCGGGCTACCTTCACACCCACATCTCAACATGTGGCAGCTGCTGTCCCAGCAGCAGCCCAGGTGTCAGGTAAGTGTGGTGGGCAGGAGGAGGCATTTGGGACTGATGGGGTGGGAAGAAGAAAGAGTGCACACTGTAGTCACAGCACTGTACATATGTGGTGGAACTGAGATTGGGAACTTCTAAGCCATCACGTAGTTTCCCTTTTCTCTGGTCCTTTATTTCCACATAGAAAATCTGAGGCTCTGAAATACAACTGAAAGGGACCTAAACCTACTACAGAAGGCCTCCTATCAGTTCACTAGCTTTTTTAAAAAATGACAGTGAGACATCTATTTGGATGCAAGTTATATGCTACAATGACTGCTTATGTCTGCTCCTCACAGAGACATTTGGCAGGTACACAACCTTCTTGAAATGCTTTTAAGCTAAGGAAAAATACTCTGTAAAAGCATTTATCTCAGAATTTGAATCAGGGTATTCCAGTGCAGCTGATCTGGACCTTGGAGCAATTTATTAGTAAGCTGCTACTGCATCTGCCGTGGTGTCACGTGCTCAGTTGAACCAGCAGTTTGACAACCCAATTGCAGGTAACTCAACGCTGCACCCAGGACAAGCAACCCACATGAACTTAGGCTTAAAAATCCACAATAGCTTAATGCTTAACTGCAGTCTGCAGTACTGTAAGACAGCACGTTCATTATTGTAAGAGAGCAGGTAGACCAACACCATCCCACCAGCACAGTAGCTCAGCACAGAGGCAACAGGTCAGCGAACCAGATCACCTTTGTGTGTTCAAAGTACATTCAGAGCTTCATGTTCAACTCCAAAGGACACAGCAAGGCAATCTGGCCAGCTCCAAAGGAGGAGGACAATGGCACTGTCTCCCGCCTAGTCTGGCAAAGATTAATCTGCTGCCCATCTGAAGTTGCTCAGAGAACAGCTTCAAGAAGTAGGTCACACTGCAAGGACCTTCGGCTAAATTGCGATGCACTGATGCTCAGCGCTGCCCTGGTTCTCTCTTATCGTTGACAGCATGTTGTGATGAGGTCCCTGTTATTTTGGTTCTGACACAAAAGTCTGATAGACCTGGGGACTCTCACAGCCTTACATCCAACTGATGCAATGTTCCCTTAAGGTCCTCACTTAGGAAGGCATTTTCTGGACACTTGCTCTTTTACCTCATATTCATTGCTTTCCTGAATTACAGATTTATGGATGCAGATAAAGAATCTGAACAGGGAGTGAAGACTGCGTTACGCTCCAGTGCTGCCCTTCACCTGGTGTTATCTCTGGGGGCTATGGAAAGTTAAATATCACCCTTTTCACTGCAGTCCATGCTGGTGTATATAACTACAGCAGCGCAGGAGTGGAGTGACCTGGGTTGCTGGGTCCCAGAAAATTAAGCAGCGGTGTTCTCACAGTTGTTGAAAAGAGCCGTGTCATGTTCTACCTGGGGATGGATTTAGCAGCTGGGAAGCACTCAGAAATAAGTAAGACAGTACAATGGGGCTGGGGAAAGAACTAAACGATAATCCTGAGGGTGTAATGCAAAAGCAGTAATATTAAGATCTGGATGACTTATGAAAAGGTCTTAGTTCATTTCAGGAAGCATTGATTCAGCAAGTACCAAGGAGGGCAAGAATTACACTGGGGGAGAAGCTTACAGGAATCATGACTGTGCTAACACAATGACAACACTTGTGAGAAAGGCAGAGTGTTTGTCCTCTCAAACCCTAATTTAGTCACACACCTGTACACCACATCTCTGAGCACAGTAAGAAACAACAAGTAAAGGCAGGCTGCTTTGTGTGTTGTTTCCTTGATGAATGTCTGTGTTAGGGACAGCTGCAGGCAAGCTAGAAACATCCTTTAAAGTCAAAGAAAAGCTGACAGGAAGCATCACGTACCAGTAACACCTCAGCAGGCTCTGTGTTAAGGCTGCAGCGTGAGAAGCACTGCAGGAGAACTTCCTTTGCATGAGGTTCTTCCAAGAACTGACAAAGCACTATAAGCCAGCATTACACCAAGCAAATATTTGTGGGGGCTAACATTTTCATGCTGAAGCAGGAGACAAAATGCTTTGCAGAAAGCTGTGGCATGCTCTCCAGCCTGCTTGTTCCCATTGCACAGGGATAGCTTTGTATTATATCTGAAAGTTATTTATTTACCAGATTATTTGACATTTTGGAAAATAAGACACAGAACGTTCAGGCAGGCTTGCCCTGTAAACAAGAGCGTGTTTCCTAAGGAGCTGGGCAGAGAAGGATACGCTCCAGGAACCTGAGTCTATGGGGGCCTGCACACAGGCAGCCCAGGCACCCTCCTGGCCAGCTGGCTGCAGACAGCATTTCTCCTCCCTTTCTGCCTGGCAGCACTGTGTATTCCTTGCTCTGCTGCAGTCTCAGCAGTGCCTGTATTTCTGGAGGGGGTGAAGGCATTTCTCAGAGTTACGTGGTGTGCTGGGAATGCCAGTGATCAAGGGTGCCCATATATTCAGAAGGTTTCCAACAACTCAAAGCCTTTGCTGGGCCAAAGCTGTTCACTCCTTCATTTTGTCACTCCCTTTGGTCTCAAGGAGTAGGTGATAACAGAGGGATAATAACGTGGCTGTGCTAGGTGGGCATGTTGGCCAGTGCTGGTTACAGACCAGCATGCTGCATCTCACTGCCCCATCTATATCCCATGGTGCAGTGAATTTCCATTAAAGCAGCTGCACCTACAACAGAAAGCCAAGTCACTGGAGCCAGTCTCCAACCTGCAGCCTTCTTCCCCAGCGTGGCTGTTCTTGGTTCTTGCTGCTCTTTTTGTCTCAAAGCAGACAATGGCTTCTGAGGGTCTTCTGTGTCTGCAGTGGGCTTAGTGTACGGTGCATTGAGGATCTTATATTCTCTCAGACTGCAAGGGATTATAGTGCATAGATACTAAACAGACTGATTCCTAGAACTTGTGCTGCAGGTGTCATATGGAGTACAAAAACAGTAGAGTATTTTACATAGGATTTTTGTGTCTAGTTTTGAAAATTTACCTGTAGCTGCCCGGTGTGTTCACACAAGTGGCTCCATTCTGACAGCCTAACACTGTTCCAGCATAAATCTGGCATTCATTAACATCCACTGAACACAGGAGGCCCTAAGATGAAATGGAAAACCAGTTTATTTTCCAAATAAATGAGAAATGAAGCAAACCATGGAGCCAAGGTTTAATATAGTTTCCTAAGATATACAAACTGTGGACTGCTATCAACACAGCTTCCCTTATGAAACATCATAACAAAACTCTGTTTTTCAGCTGTGTTTCTGTGACCCTGGTTATCAGTCAGATGAGGGATAAAATATTTCAGATGTTTGTAGAAAGCATATTGACAGCATAGCACTGTCATTCCCTCTATTTTCCAACTTGCTAGCAAAAGGCTCAGAAAACTTTCTTTCAAACTGTTTCTGTCAGGAGATGCTGTTACATTAAGACTGAAAGCACAGCAATTTTGACCCAAATTTTGCTGGGACAAATTTGAAGTTGAGAGCCTTTGAGAAGAAGATACAACGTTTCCATCTCTAGTGCATGTAACAGCACCATTAAAGCCTTTGCCATTAAAGTCTTTGGATTTAAAAATCTCAGAATGGGATTGATTACTTACACCATCATTTGTCTTATTTGTTTAAGCTTGAATAAATATCCTTCCGATCCCCCATTCTCTCTATCCTTGCGTAAGATCAACAGCAAGACATGCAGTTCAGTTCACTGCTCATCGAAAACCAAGACTAGCTCGCTGCTGTGAGAACTGCCAGGCATCACTGACTTCATGGGCCATCGCCCATGTCCAACAGTGCAGGGTCTGGCCCAATGGTTTGGGCTTTGGTTTTTCAGTGTATCGATATTGTTGAGAAGCATATGTGCTGCCCTTCAACCAAATGCTTTGCTGTTCGGTATATCTCACTCTATCCTGAGAAACCTTAAAATGCTACATTTCATCACAATTACACTTAGCCAGGTGTATCCTTACAGTTCAAATACATGCTCCGTATTCAAGGAGGCTAAAAACTCACCTGCCAGTTAGTGGGACAGAGGCAAAAGAAACCATCCAGGGAGTTTACACAGGTCCCTGAGTTCTCACAGGGGTTACTACTGCAGGCTTTCCTCTGGACAGCCTGAAACCCAGGAAAAGAGCAGAAAATGACATTCCTG